GGGAGAGAGAGAGAGAGAGAGAGAGAGAGAGAGAGAGAGAGAATAAATAAATCCTATAGTTGTAATTGCTCACCTCTTTCTTCTTTGGCGGGGATTTGAACTCCACCTGCAGCTCTCCCTTCCCCTGGGCGAGCCTTCTACTCTGTATCGTGCACCTCAGCTCCTCTTTGATGAGTGGAGTCAGCGTGCCGGTCTGGAAGGCTTCGATCGTAGCGTGCACGATCTTCTGCTCGTTCTCGTCAAAGGTCAGGCCAAGGTCGGAGTCCGACATCATGGCGGCAGCTTCGGGCACGAGCTGGTATTCCCTGGTCTGTTCAGGCATTGTTTGGGGATCTGTCGAGGAAAAGTTCGTGGGGATTGTGGTGGTGCTGATCGAGCTGGGGGATGTCGAGGGTTGGAACGATTCGAGGAGGTTGTTAATGGCGGGGTGAGGAGGTCGGGACAGGATGGATGGTCCGGGGGAAGTGTTAGACAGATGCCTGGATGTTGATGGTCCGAGGGCTGCTACTGATGTGTTTATGGCAGGGGAGGACTTCTGAGTGGTGATTCGGCGTTTGCTTGGTGATGGCCCAGTTGGAGTTATGGCTGTCGACTTGCTGCGTTTAGCGACCCTGGAAGAACGGCGTTGGGTGCGCGGGGTGTTGAACTCTTGGAGGTTGGGCACAGCTGTGCTCTCTTTGAGGACCAGCTTGTGCTTGAGACCTTCACCTTCGTCGGGGACGACTGCGGTCAAGGTTATCTGGTAGCCAAAAGTTGACGGCTGTGAGGTATCCACAGTGGCAGAGTGCGTCGCGTTGTTTGTGCTTGTGGGCACCACGGTTGCGTTACACTCCAGCTGGCTGGGGTTCGAGTTTTCTTCTATCGCGTGTTGAGCCGCGGGAGGAACGTGAGCGTTGACTAGCAAAGCTCGATTGAGGTCAGGTCTGATCGCAGAGAATGTTGAGATCTGCGGTGGTACCAGTGTGTTGAGCATTACACTTTGTGTGCGACGTCTGGAGGGAGAGCGGAAGGGAGAATGAATGTACGAACAGGAAGAGTATTACTTTTGTGTCTGTAGGGGTTGTTGTTGTTGTTGTTGGTGGTGGTGGTGGTGGTGGTTTTGGTTTGTTTTAT